GGAGAAAGGTAGGGCTTTCTTGGACCGATTCATCCATCAAACACACCAGGGAAATGTTGACTCAGGAAAGGAAGTTGAAAGAGATGTTTCTAGAGTGCTGACACCAGAAATGTATGCAAACTACGAGGATGTGATATCTACAGATGAGGTTTCCAGAACGATAAAACATGCCAAGGACAGTGCTGGAGGGCCGGATGGTGTAAGATATTGCCACATGAAAGAGGCAGATGATGAGATGATTGAAGGAATAACAAAAGACTTCAACAAAAGCATTGGCACTGGTGAAATCCCTGAAGAATGGTTGCACAGCTGGTTGATACCAATCCCCAAACCAGGAAAAGACCACTCGGCTCTCAGTGGTTACAGGATGATAGCCATGCAGAACACCTATGGGAAAATTCTGGAAAAGATAATTGCCGGACGAATATCAGCACACTTAGAGAGGAAGTCCCTGTTGCCAAATGAGCTTGGCAGCTACAGACCCCATCGAGAAACCTCAGTGAATGCGGCTGTCATGACGTACGACATCTATGAAGGCTTTCAGCAGCGGAAGGAAACAGTTGTGACGGCACTTGACCTTGAGGATGCTTACAACCGAGTCAGCTATAAACGTTTGATCGACCGTCTCCTGGAATTTGATGTAGACATATGGCTGGTGAGATGGGTAGCAGTAGCCCTGGTGGAGAGAAAAATGGCCCTGAGACAGGGTGAATGGACTTCAGATCCGGTATCAATTGCTCCAGGACTGCCCCAAGGATCCCCCCTCTCTCCTGTGCTTTTCAATGTGTACACTGCACAGGTAACGATGCATCAGAAAGAATCTGGACGTGTCCTGAGCTTTGCGGATGACATAATGGCATACGAGCACGGAGATGACAGACTTCAGATGGCAAGGAACATGGAGAAAAGACTTCACTCAGTTGTAAAATGGTGCGACCAAAATGAAGCAGTCATCAACCCTCCAAAGGCGCAGGTACTTTGGTGTTCCCTCAACAACAGGATTGTCCAAGACATAACTCCACCAATCACTTGCAACTCTGAGATTATCGACAGACAGTCAGAGCTGAAGTATCTGGGAATCGTCTTCGACAGGTCGTTATCCTTCAACAAGCATGTGAATCATGTGGTAACAAAGGCCAAACGAGGTGTTGGTGCAATCAAGACCATGGCGGCCGCTCTGATTCCGCAAAGAGTGCTCTTCCTGATGTTGCAGTTGGTCGTCCTGTCTGTCGTTGATTACGGATTGGGCTGTCCCACGCTGTCCGACACACAGATCGCAAAGCTGGATTGAGTGCAGAATGAGGCAATGAGAGCAGTGCTGGGCTGCACCAAGGACACTCCAATATTGTGCATGCGCTACTTGCTAGGTTTAAGTGGCATCAGAGTACGCCATAGGATAGCTCAGGCAAAGATGTATCTCAATGTAAAGGGCAAGAAGGATCATCCACTTCACAAAGCACTTCATGACAAAAGGAGAGTCAGAATCAAGAGAGGAAAATCTTGGATGGCGGAAGCAGAGGATTCCCTGAGAACAATCTGTGTACCTGAGAGCCTACCACTAGGCGAAGAATGGGAGCAGGTGGCCGGAGAATACAGGGACCTCACCAAGGTCAAAATAAGCATGGGCAGAGACAGAAGAAATGTTGCGGCTGCCATCAACGAGAGCGATATCAACGAGATTGTTGACACAAACTCAAAAGCAGGGGATCCTATAATTTATACAGATGGTTCAGTGAAAAGAGATAGCCAGAGAAGTGCATTCGCCAACAATAAAATCATACACAGTGCATTTGGAGCCTGCAGCAGGACTACATCAAGTATGCGAATGGAAATTGAAGCCACCACGAAAGCACTTTATTGGATGACCCAAGATCGCCCCCACACAACCCATGCTGTTCTTATCACTGATTCCATGTGTACCCTCAGAAGGATCGAAAAAGGTTTCCTGAGAACGGAATGGATTCAAGCTATCGAACCAACGCCTATACGATCGCTTACATGGATTTTCTGCCCTGGCCATGCAGGTGTTAGGGGAAATGAAAAAGCCGACAGATTGGCTGGTGAGGCCACCTTAGTTGACAATACGGTTCAACCAGATAGGGTCGAGATCCTGAAATGTCTTTCTCGCCAACTGATTGAGGAGGAAGATAGGGAGGCAGAGGCCAGTACTGCCGTGGAGAGGATGATGCTTTTGGGAATAAAAAAAGGAAGCGGAAAATCTGGCATCCTTGCAGGAAAGAACAGAAGAACGTTCAACCAGATGTGCACTGGTACAATCAGTAGAAGGACCCTCGGCAACATTTTGGAGAGAGCAACGGAGCATCAATGGACATGTCCGGAGTGCAGGGATGTTGCTTCCTGAAACAAGAACAAGAACAAGTGACTGAGGGGGACGTTTTTTACACTCTAACAATGACAGGTAAACAAAGTCTTCTTTCAATAGCTGAACTAATGTACATTGTATGTAGATCTATAGTCTAAAATTGCTGCTTTGGGGGGGGGGGGGGGGGGGTTCGGGTGTCAGTTATGTAATGATTACCTAGATCTGCGACTTACGTGCAAAATACGCGAGATCGATCACCAAGAGATAAAAAAAAAAGAAAGAACAAACAAACAAACAGAAATTGGCTTCGGCAAACTGTTCTAATGTCCTTGGCTTCGGCACATTTCTGTCTATCTTCTGGGATGCTGAATACCAATACCACGCTAAACCTGGGTTGGTTGAAGCATATCCACTTCCGAAGTGATCTTATTGTTTTGATAGGGGTGAAAATAACACTTAAAATCACTTTAAGCACTAACTTAACCCGATCCGTACATCGAGTTTTACTATCGTATCCATACGACGTGGGGAACTCTGTGCCACCACTTTCCAAAGAGGAAATTTACTCGTTAATTCGATCCGCACGCTTTGCATAGCAGTCTGTCAAAATGATTGTTTTTAAGGAATACTGAAAGTTTCACAGAGATCTTCGTACTAGAAGTATTCCAAAATGTGAAGAATACAACTCTGGGGGTACAAAATGACCACAGGGCGTACGGATAAGGTTAAAACGCGGCGACTTTAACCAGATGTTTCCCCTTGCAGTTTCCAGAAGCCTTGCATGGCTTCAGCGGATCATTATTACAGATAACAACTTTCGTCTAATTACAGGAGAAAAAAACAACAACCCAATAAACAACGAATCATCTAGGATCTAGCCAGGGATGTACGTTACATAGCTTTGTCAGGTCGTGGGATACGGAAACATAACACGACGTTCTCCTTGATGTGATCTGAATACCAGGAGGTCTCATGTAGCGTTCCTACTGTACTCCCCCCCCCTTCTCTCTCTCTCTCTCTCTCTCTCTCTCTCTCTCTCTCTCTCTCTCTCTCTCTCTCTCTCTCTCTCTTTCTATCTATCTATCTATCTATCTATCTATCTATCTATCTCTCTATCTATCTATCTATCTATCTATCTCTCTATCTCTCTATCTCTCTATCTATCTATAAGGACGATAGATGTTTTTAGGAAATAAGAAGCAGACCACACCCGAGCACCCACTTATAACCACCCATGTAGTACATTTAGTAAAAGCTTGCTGACATTATGTGTACATGTGAAGGTTGCAAGGGAAAAACAAGAGATATCAGTTCTTTGGATCATTTGAGTTGAGACTTGGGTTGGAACGTATTTATACACTCCTTCCAGCTCATCTTTGTCTAAGTGTCCAGGGCTAAAAACTAATGAGTCACAGAATATCAGGCTTGGAAAATAAGCTACACTATGGGGGGGGGGGGGGGGGGGGGGGGGGGAACCCCCCCAATTTTTTAGCAAATGCCGTAAAACTTATTAAATCTAAACTAAACATTTTATTTTTTTGTTTTTTTTCAAAATCCCAAAAAGGGAACCCCTTTTTTTTCCCCTGTGCCCCCCCCGGACAAAAAGGGAAAAAATTTCCCCCCCTCCCGGGGGGACCAAAAAAAAAAAAAAAAAAAAAGGGAGGGGGGGGGGGGGAAACCGGCCCCCCCCCAAAAAAACAAAGGGAAAAAACTTTTTTTTTTTCCCCGGGTTTTGTTTTTTTCAAAATTCCAAAAAGTGACAGCCTTTTTGTTTTTCCCCTGTGCCCGTCGCGTACATAATGTAGCATACTTTCCTCTCTTCCAGTGTGATCGAAACTAAAACGAAGAACAAATGTGAGGCAGCGTGGTGGAATCAGGCTCTCGTCAAAATAATCAAAGTGAAGAAACTTGCATTTTTCCGCAGGTTTGTGAAATTTTATCAAATTTGTGTTTTTTGGCTCAACACTTTTCATGCCCATAATAGAACTCATTTCTGTGTGGATTTTTCTTAAAAACGTTGATTAAAGAAACAAAAAATGTAAATTTTCAGTTACCACAGACTCTTAAGCTAAGGAAATAACTAATCCTAGGCGACCATTTTCTCACTAATTTTACCTCTGAAAACAGGTGACCCCCACTTCCTTCATTCGCAAATATCTCGACTTGTACTCTAGACAAATGGATATTTCGTTCATTCAAATAAAGACAAGTGAACAAGCTTCAAGGTGACACCAATAACTCTACATGGCCAAAAATTGACGAGTGCCTGATTCCACCACGCTGCCTCACAAATAACACCATCATTCAGTGCCAGATCTGCGGCAGACATCGGCGATCATGGTTCTCCATTCATTCATTTCAGGAGTCCCAAAAACTGCATTGAACACAAAAAGTATTACTGAAGAATATTCGTAGTGTTTATTAGTCTTTTAGTTTCCTCTATAAACGCTCACAGGTACGTGCATGTAGAACCAGCCATGTGCGCGTGCTGCCAGAGGAGGGATCACCAAAAAGAAATTTAAAACACTTCTAAAATTAAAAAAAATAAAAATAAAAAAACACCGCGTAAAATGACCACTCGACCCGCACGCTTTGCATAGCAGTCTGTCAAAATGATTGTTTTTTTTAGGAATACTGAAAGTTTCAAAGAGATCTTCGTACTAGAAGTATTCCAAAAATGTGAAGAATACAACCCTGGGGGTACAAAATGACCCCAGGGCGTACGGATAGGGTTAAAACACGGCGAACTTGACCAGCTGATTTCCCATGCAGTTTTCAGAAGCCTCGCATGGCTTCAGCGGATCATTATCACAGATGACAACCTTCGTCTAATTACAGGAAATTCATGCTAATCTAAATCACAGGCGACGACTCAAATGTACGAAGGTGAGGTAATTTTGACGAGCAATAGTATGGATAAACGATGTGCATTTAATTGTATACATCGCTCTAGTCCTGGTTACACTTCGACCTTGACCTTCACCCTTTCCAATTGTTTAGCATGCCTCGCTCTACTCCTGATCATAAATGTACTTCAATACTTCGACCTTGACTTTCATCCCGTGCCAGTGTTCAGCATGCCTAGCTCTACCCCTGATCATACCAAAATCTTTGATCATACTTCTATACTTCCACTTGACGTTTACCCCATGCAAACATTTAGCATGTTTAGCTCTACTCCCGATCGTACTTGAAACGTCCATATACTTCGACCTAGATCTTCACCCCCTGCAAGCGTTCAGCATTACTCGATCTACTCCTGATCATACTTTGATCATGCTTCCATACTTCGACCTTGGCCTTTACCTTGACCTTCACCCCGTGCAAGTGTTAAGAATGCCTCGCCCTACTCCTGATCATACATGTCGTGCTTCCATACTTCGACCTTGACCTTCACCCCATGCCATCCTTTAGCATACATACTCCCGATCAAACTTCCACACCTCGACCTAGACCTTCATCCCGTGCAAGCGTTCAACATTACTCGATCTTCTCCTGATCATGCTTCCATACTTCGACCTTGACCTACACATCATGCCAGCCTTTAGCGTACTCCTGATCAAACTTCCACACTTCCAGCTTGACGTTCACCATATGCCACCCTTTAGCATACATACTCCTGATAAAACTTCCACACTTCAACCTTGACCTTCACCCCGTGCCAGTGTTTAGAATGCCTCGCCCTACTCCTGATCATACATGACGTGCTTCTCTACTTCGACCTTGACCCCTCCCCCTCCCCCGTGTCAGAGTTCAGGACTCAACACGACCTGCCCGCCGCCCGCTGCTTGTTGATCCAGCGCTGTCGGCCAGACGGTCCGAACATCCGGCGGAGACCCGCGTCTGCTACCGGGACGTACTTCCGGGGCACGCCGGTGCTGATCACCATGCTTGACCGCGGCCGGAACGGCGCCATTGTCTCCTCCCTAGAGCTGCCGCCGTCCTCCTCCTCCTCCTCCTCCCCCGCCTCCTCCTGATCATTCGCGTCATATCCCTCCCGGGAGCGGGCGCGGAAACTCTTCCTCTGTTTTATCATCTCCTGCACTTTGGAGAGCCTGTGGGTGTGAGGGAGGGAGGGAGGGAGGGAGGGAGAGAAACGGAATGAAAATAAAGAACACCTCCGACTCGCACACACACACACATACACACACACAAACACACACACACACGCACACACACACACACACACATACATACATACATACACACACACACACGCACACACACACACACATACATACATACACACACACACACACACACACACACACACACACACACACACACACACACACGCACACACACACAATCGTTTCTCCCTTGCCGCAATACCCAGGTCACAGTGTTGTCATAATGTGTTGTTTATTTGTTGTTGTTGTTGTTGTTGTTGTTGTTGTTGTTGTTGTTGTTGCTTTTTTGGAGGGGGAGGGCCACAATAGTGGGGATTACAGCGGTGGGGGGTCAAAGGAGGGTAGGAACATTGCGCAGGTTTTATATTGTTATGCAATGGATTACTCAATAAACCACCCTTTCCGATGTACGGTAAATTGAGCAGGTCTATATTGTTATGCAATGGAATACTCAATAAACCGCCCTTTCCGATGCACGGTAAATTGCGCAGGTTTATATTGTTATTCAATGGATTACCCAATGAACCGCCCTTTCCGATGCACGGTAAATTGCGCAGGTTTATATTGTTATTCAATGGATTACTCAATAAACCGTCCTTCCGATGCACGGTAAGTTGCGCTGCAGGTTTTGGAGCGTGGTATATCGGCGACGATTTCGCTGTGGTCGAATCAGAGTCCCGACCTCGACCTGGTTTGTTTGTTTGTTTTAGTAGAGGTTTTACGGCGCTCGCAACTGCATACGGTCATATGAGCGAGAGAAGATTAGAGGTGTTACAAGAGAGTAACAAACACAAAAAAGAAGAAGGGGAGATAAGGACGACAGATATTTGATAGGAAAGAAGAAGCAAACCACACCAGAGCACCCACCAACCACCCACCGACCATGTTTAGCTGACTGAGTGTTCACAGAAGAGCGTTAGTCTGGAGACCTTTGCTGAGTTGGGTGACGAGGGGGTGCATAGTTTAGCTGAAAATAGAACGGTGAGTTTGTCTGGGAAGAACCTGGAAATTCGTAAATACAGCCTTTTATAAATCGATGGGTAGGCTATGCCCGATGAAATATAGTCGCGCTCAAAAAGAAACTTAAAACGGAGGTTTTCATGACAGAGAAAGGACGGGGGGGGGGGATATATACATTGAAATGAAGATGCAGTCTTGATGAATTGGCTAACGGGGGAGGTTTATTATTTTCCTACCAACTGAAAATGTTTAGTGTGTGCATCGCACTCATATGACCTTATGCTGCTGCAAGCGCCGTAAAACACTTACCAAAATAAAAAATAGAAAGAGAAGAAGAAGCCTACGTAGGCTTAGCAGGTCGTATCCAAAGAGTGGCCGTATCAAACGAGAGAGAAGAAACGAGCCCGCCCACCTGAAAGATTCCAGCATGTCATCACTCAGCGTAGATGTGGCCTCGCTCTGGGCCCGGTGGATCTTCACGCCTGACGGCAGCTCTTTCCCGGATCTGAAAAATGAAACAAAGGCAAGTCGCTACAATCGAATGTCAGTTCTCTTACGGCTCTGAAAAAAGTATTAGTAAGGTTTTACCACGCTCGCAACTACATAAGGTCATATCATATGAGCGCCGAAGGGTGGATACCTGTCCGATGTGCAATGACGTTGTTGCCCAGGACAGGTGATACAGGTAATACAGGCAACGGGTGGATGTCAACAGAGACGTCCAAACGTGGAAGTAGGCTTACTCTGTTCACCTCTCTAGCCTCAAATGCACAAAGTCTGCTTCGACTATCAAGGCACCCCAGAAATAGCTGTTCACAAGAGAGTGACAAATGACAACAGTAAGGATGAGGAAAGAAAAAGCAGAAGTCCCCCCCATGTTGTTCCGGCACAGTATGAGCATGACATTGATAAATCAGCCCTTTTGCAATTCTTCTGTGCATAAGAATATGTTAATATCCCCACTCTGGGAATGGCCTAAAGACATCTTCAGTCAGTAGCACTGCCCTGTTGAGGGGGGGATCTGAAATATGAAAAAAGATAAGTCGCTACAATTGAATATCAGTTCTTTACCCCGTCTGAAAAATGAAATATAAGGCAAGTGGAGAAATAAAAACTATTATAAATACACTATTTAAAGCACCTCAGACACCAGATAACTACAATGAGCTGTCCCGCCAAGAACAAGTGATTATCTTCAGACTAAGGACACAACACACAAGACTGAGACAACATATG